CATATTCCTGTTTCTGTACATGTTGGCCTGGGAATTTATTACATCCCTGGTAAATGGTATTTTTAGGTCGTCATGTAAGGTTTGGTTAGAAACATACCATGGAGCATTTGTCATCATTCTTAAAGTTCATACTCGTAGATTGTTTAAGCAGATGTTTTGTACGTTGAAGTGTGCATACATCTTTTGGGTTCCCTCTGTACTTTTCAATCCTCTTTTTTGTTGCTTTTAATACTTTGCTGGGCATAATGTTCATTTCTTGAAGATGCAAAACTAATCACACTACATTTTTTTACTTTTATTTCGTTACAAGATTCTTGCGTCCGCAAAAATGGAAATGTTATATAAAACACTGTCTATATATCCAAAACAACACGTTGACGAAACTACTATTACATAAATCATAGTACATCAAGTTCAAAATTGTCCAAAGTTTTGTATATAAAGATTTTATTGAGGCTAAAATGTGGTGAGTTAAAATATTAATAAAATTCTTAAATAATAAAAATCTTAAACCGCTAAGGTTCGTGTCTTCATGCCCCTTCTATCAAGGGAGATTGGGGTCATGAATGAATGAATGAATGAAGGGAAGGGCCTTCTTGGCCCTTCCACCGCGACCTCAGTGATCTACTGTGCCTCCCCTTCCGATTATCCCCTCAACAATCCTGCGCTTCGAATGAAGCCTAGGATTTTGTACGTGGGAACGTCGAAATAGTCACTTGGTTCCATAAAATACTGATCCAAGTGCCGCAACCTTAAATAAGCTAAGGCCTCACATTCGCACAGGATATGTGTGGCTGTTTCGTTTTCTTCTTGGCACCTCTCATAAGTGGGACTATCACTTAGTCCCAATTTGAAGAGGTGTCCTTTGTGGTGACAGTGTCCTCTAAGCAGTCCTACCACCCATCGTACCTGGTTCCTGTTTAACTTCCAACAGTTCCTTCGCCCCTTTAGTAGAGGGTCCTCGCATGAGTCCCTTTGCTTGCCTGAGTCCAGTTAAGGATCCCCAGTATTTCTTGTGTTTCATACTTGTCCAGTCCCTGATTGCCTGTCTGGCAACTCCTTTAGAGATGACACAGGCTGGTTCAGGTCCTATGAACGGATGTGCAGATCCAGTCTTGGCCAATTGGTCTGCTGTTTCGTTTCCAGCAATACCCTCATGCCCCGGCACCCATATCAGTTGTACCCTGTTATGTTTGGCCAGTTCCATGAGGGTTTGGTGGTAATCCCAGACCGATTTTGAGTTGATCTGGTGTTTGTCAAGAATTTTAAGTGCAGCTTGGCTGTCAGATAGAATGTAGATGTTCCTGTTTCTGTAGTTCCTATCTAGATTCTCTTTAATACATGCCTTCATGGCATATATTTCTGCCTGGAATACTGTCGTGTACTGCCCAAGGCTGAAACTAAGTTTCCGCCTCGTGCCATAGCAATACACACCAGCTCCAGTGCCCTTATTTATCTTGGGACCATCTGCATTCCAGATCAGTACCCCTTTTCTATCGGGCCGAAACCCGTCTTCCCATTCACTCCTGTCAGGAAATCTGACTGTGAAGGCTTTTTCACATACATGTCTCAGTATCATTTTGTCAGACTCTAGAGATTGGGGTGATACTGCCGTCCTTGTAATTTCGGGCAGTGCCTTTCTTCTCCATATGGCTTGGACAACTTTGAGCTTGATGCACTATGATTTATGTAATACTCGTAGTAGTTTCCTCAACGTGTTATTTGCCTTCTGATGATGGTCATTAATTGACCGAAACATGTAAGGGCATCATATATACATATATTTGAGTCACAATGGACGGTATGGTCAAATCATTCTATAGTATTCTCGGCGGTCTTTATAAAACGGGGCCTTTATTATATGAATACCCTAATTCAAAATGTCATTTCAACAGTATCTAATTCATTTTAAGGGTTGGTTGGTTAGTTAGTTATTTAGAGAGGGTGGGTTTCCTCATGCACCGCGACCAGTTTGATCTACTGTGCTTCCTTCTATGATATTCTACCAGTCTCTATACCCTACCGATAAATGGTGCGTCCCATCAGTCCCGCCGAGCAAGCGAGTTCGGCCACTTGCTTAGCGGTGTCTATAATGTTTCCCTCATCTATCAGAGGCCTTAGAGACTATTGTTGGGCGGGAAACGTCCTGGAATTTGGCTCAGTGATCCCCTTTGGGGATATGAGGTTCTTTTACGTGCCGTAAAGTTACAACACGGGACACACAGCTTAANNNNACTTGTTCCCTGAATTTTTCCGCCCTTAAAAATTCGACGACCTCCGCCGGGTATTTGAACCCGCGTACCACGAGTCATGAGGTGGGAACGTTACCTCTATACTACGGAGGCCGCTTATTTTAAGGGTTACTTTACTTAGAGGCATAAATGAATTACTGGGCCTACCCATAAATTTTGTTATCTAGAATTGTCGGCACAACTTCTCGCGGATCCCGGCTTGCCTTCCATGCCATCTGCGTGAGGAGGAACAAACGGTAACGACAGGATTACCGCACATTTTCTCTGGAATGTCCACTCTTCTCCAATTATTTCTGTAAGCCAGTTTCATGACTCCTACGAAGAATTCAAAGCAACACAGGTTTATGAAGCCACTTCCGCACTTCGACGGTCACGAGAGGTTCGCTCCTTCTGAGTACAGCTGATCTGACAGTTGTGGAACATCGACTGGAACTCTAAGTGCTCCCTTCTTAGGCAGCTGATGCAACAAACTAGTTCTGATTCCTTCTGTGATTCTTAGACATTTATTTTGAAAATACCGTGAAATTTATGCCCATATTTTGAATCATTTAAACAAATGCCAAAGGGTTAAATAACCATCCACTTTTACTATTTACCTTATAAAAATAGTCACAAAATTTTCATTACAAATCATGGCACAAACAGAGGAAACAAAAACGCACGAATATTACTTCAGGCTATAACTGCCCCTGCACTGACCCCGAATGCAATCAGTGTAACACTGTCCGACGAAGACAGACAATTGCATAGGGATGCTCATGTAGTCTTCCGCTTTATTTGTCAAAATATTGCCAAGAATACATCGAGTTCTATCGCAATAGATATGTATTGCTTTCGAGATGGCCGTTGTTCAAATAGTGACTAATTTAATGCGTGATTTTTAGGTCAAATCTACATTTCCGGTTTCCTTCAAGTCTAAGTCTGCAACATTTAAAAATGAGACCAAGCAAATTCAACTAAATGCAATTAATTTTAATGATTATAAGTATTGTGTTATCAACACCGAGCACCAAGTCCTATATGCGAGAGGTACTTAATTCGAATCCGGGTCGGCACCACAACTGCCTCAATTGAAGTCTCTTCGTTGTTCCTTTCAACTCCTCCAGGCAAATGCCGCGATAGTGGCGCCATTATGTGACGACCGCTTCCTTTCCAATCCTCTTCAATTCATTATTCATCAATCAGCTTACCACACAACGCTGTAAAGTCTAGAATCGTCGTAAAATGAGCCACAAAGGAAATGAGACGAGGTTTTCACTGCGATGAACATTCCGACTGTTGCGTCACATTGCTGTCGTCTCGACTATGACACCACGTGGTGTTGTAGGTGCATAGGAAGGTTTCCGCGATATATTACTACTTACCAGACTGCACGGGTTAACTCTCCGAAAGACCACAATATTGTGACATGAGGCCTGAACGCCTGAACACGTCGTAACCCACTGCCAGACAATGGCTCGCTAACACATGTTTCCGTGACAAGCTGGAAAAAATCATTTGCTCGGAAACTGCTCGGTATACACCGCCTAAAAGCCGGAATAGTGGGCCAAACACGGAACTGTCCATTTGTTAGGTAACGGTTCATGCATGTTTCCGAGACAACTCGATCATGAAGAGCGGTACTGGAACCCTTGAAGGCGGTGATCTCTCTTCAGTTCTCTCGCGGTTAGAAAGGGCAGTTCATTCGTGCATTTAAGGGATTCATTCGTTAAGAGGCTTCAGAAGACAGTTCGGTAGTTGAGTATTCAGGTGTGAAGCGTTAACCAGATAAGATTAGTTACCAAGCAACGACTATGAGCCGGGATATCTCAGTGGGTATAGCGAATGGCTATGGGCTGGACGGCCGAAAGATCGGAGTTCGAGTCCCGGTAGGGTCAAGCTTGTTGTCTTTTCCAAATCGTCTAGACCGGCTCTGTGGTCCATCCGGCCTCCTATCCAATGGGTACTGGGGGCTCTTTCTTAAGGGATGAAGCGGCAGGAACGTGAAGCTGACCACTCACCTCCAACTAGTGCCGAGGTCAAGGAAATATGGATCTATACATCCACCCCCATACACCTTCATGGCGTAGTGCTTAATTAGTTAAGCACAGGGAGAACTTTACCTTTTTACCTTGAGCAAGCAGATCTAGAAGACTTATTTTGTGTGCTATAATTACAGTAATCTTTGAAGTGTTATAATTATTTGTATTTACGACTTGTGAGGGATAATAAATCTATTCATCTGATCCAGAACCCATATTATTAGTCACGCTAGCTCGGAATACGTGATGATACAAATTTTCACCACCTTCACATGTTCACATGTTATAATTCTAAGTGAGTATTCCAACTATTACAGTGTCTGCACTTAAACAGCTCGTAACGTCTTTATTCCATGCCTTAACTGAGGGAGCAGGCCTTAATATTTATTAAGAATTTCATGTCAGCTTCTGGTATTAAAGAAACCCATTACATTACACATTATGAGCAAGTTAATGGCCCGCAACACGATCTCCCAAGGGAATTCCAGAGCTAGGAGCCTGAACAGTGAAACTGTGTATCCGTCAGCAGAGCTGAGAGCACTCGACATGCTCGAGTTGCTTGGGCCAGGAACACCCATTTTTACGAAAGCGAAACTGTTTGCAAAGGAGAGCAGCCAGCTCCATCGTTCCCGTCGGTATAAGCAATACTCGTATTTCGAGCCTTGTGCAAGATATGAAGGGGTAAACGTTTGCCCTCCTCTGTCAGCTGAAAGTAGGAGGGAACGTGAAGTCAAAGAAAGCCGTCTTTGTCGCGTTCCCATTTCTCTTCAGTCTGCGACCAGCTTGCCAGGTAACCGGGTCGACTGACAGCTGCAGCCATTGCCTCTCTCTGCAGTAGTCGCTTTCTTCCTGCTGGCGTCTGCCTACCTCAGGATACTCAGACCTGGCGAAGCTTCCAGCCGCGCGGACTTTCTCCCCTCGCTCCACACACCAACAATACCGCGTAATTATCATTTCTGTCATTGTTATCGTCGTTAAAAAGACGTATATAATCCGACGCCAGTGTTATTACGTAGCAAAATAACAATTACTTCGAATATTTCACAAATGAATTTAAATTGAATCGAAAGTGATATTCTGGTGAAGGAAGAGAAACCCGAATAAGGTGTTTGTCTGTGTTTTGTGACTAGAAATTTTGTGGAAAGAGTGGTGAATTCGGGGGAAAGTTATTCTCACCGTCAACTGAACTTAAGAAGGATTTTATGGACTGGTATTTTATTTACACAACTTGAACAAAAAGATATGGGATTTAGACACATTCAGAAGTTCATAAATGGAGCCGTAGCAGCCGCCTCCATCCTCACTCTCCTTCTCGGTGAGTAATCATTTCTATTCCAGTTTTTTACAGGTTACAAATCCCGTTACGTTTTCACGAGCACGAGTAAATAAAATGCACGCGTTTCCCCGCTGCTCATATAAATTGTAACACTATCAACTCTCTCACCTTTGCCTCAAGATCACTTGTCTAATTTCAATCTTTCTGCGTCGAGACTTGAAATTCATCCCCACAGACCGCTGAACTACAACATTTCTATTCGAAATTCAGTATCCCAGCAGCACATGCGTGTGGCTTCACCTCTAGTCTCCGATACATCTTCATGCCGTAATATTGAAGCGCAGGACAAAGTTTACCATATACAGTTTTTTTACCGGTAATAGCAAAGCCCGCTACTGGGTAAGATAAGTGTGACAGGTACACCGGCATCTTATTGCCCTAAGATTATTCTGATATCTGCTTCCCAATACTCGGGCTTCGAAGTGACAGCTTTCCCAGCCGTTTCCTTACAAATTACTAATTTAGTTCACCTCCCTCGTTCAAAATACAAAGCGTTACGCTCTTTTGAAGTTATCATCATCCCGCCAAAAACGAATATTACTAATTATGCAGTAGGAAAAGAAAGCACACAGCCGCTTACACTATATTGGCAGCCACTCCAGCATTCGCTAATAGGACCCAAGGCCTCATTGCCGCGCTGAGGCAACGAAACCAGAATGAGGCACAAGTCGTGTCCGGTCCGTACTCTCTACTGTGTTTCGTGCAACATACGCTGCAGATTAGGATAGACAAAACTGGCACTGCAGTGGTTCACGTTCCAAACCATGGCGACCCGACCTTCCTGATATCTTTTTTTTGTATTGCTAGTGGGGTACTGCGGCCACTTCTGGCCTACTGTACCAGCCCCAGATGATAAGTGGGGGTGATTGTGGAGCAATTGGTGGAATGAAGATTAGCAGGGGAAACTGAAGTACTCGGAGAAAACTTGCCCCAGCGCCATTTTGTCCACCACAAATCCCACTTGACCAGACCCGGGATCGAACCCGAGCCGCCGCGGTGAGAAGCCAGTTACTAACCGCTTGAGCTATGGCGTGGCCTTCCTGATATCTTACGCGAAATCATATTGGCTATGAAACAAGCTTCAGTTAAGACAGAAACAAATGTTATATACATGTTTACAGCAGAAATTACATATGTAAGATCAGTCAAGTAATACAAACTATATTATAAACATAAAGGTAAAATATAAGGAAGGAGTCAAATATTTATTCAGAAGATGTGATTACATGCAGATGGTTACATGCAAAAGGTTTAACCCATTTGCATAATATGGACAATGACAGCTCAAAAAACTTAACTTATTCATAAAACCCAAAGGACACAGGGAAACAAATCGGAAAATGACAATAAAGTAAAAATGTTTGATCTAATCCATGCAGGAGGAAGAAAAGGAAAAAAGAATGGGAATTAGAGGAGAATGCGAGTCCTCAAATATTTACCAATGCAGCGTACGAAGCGATTATCTATAACCATTTGTAAACTTTACAATTCACGACAGAGAATGTGTCAGGGAGATGCGTGGCTTCACATCTAGGGAAAGTGCTGAGGGCCGCCACACGTCACAGTCTGAACATAGCTGCACAAGACAATATAACAGCAAGAATAACAGCAGGATGTAAGTGGGTGTGCGGTCTACGGTGTCACAGGCTTCGACCGCGGGTTCGCATCCAGATTTAGGCTCTGTGATTTATTCTGCACTATACTTCCATCTTTTGGCGGACTGGACAACAATCCAAAACACCTCCGGCATAGATAATGAGGTTCATTGTAGCAGTCATTAATTTTGAATTGAAATTCACCATTCGGAACAGTGATACTAGTAATTTATCAATGAAACAAAATAAATATTAAAGGCCGTGGAACTTGAATGCGGGAACAGGCAAGGAACATTAGTTGGTAATCGTATTGCAAGTTTCGGTGGCATTTGCGACTGTTTTGCATGTAGGCCTACTTGCCTCATTGTGAAAGAAACCTCCTCTGTGAGCCTAATCCAAGCCCCAGGACGAGAGATAAAAACAATAATAATAAAAATAAAACATATTAAAGAAACAGGCATTTTTCAGATTGTGGTCCTCTGATTCCTAACAGCGTGCAGTCTTGTAGATACAACTCACGTTTCAGATCGAAGTCGACCTTAAAAATGAAGGCACCGTTTTCATTCGAAATGTTCGCTTCCCTTTTTAGAGACTATACGGTGTCAGAAGGCTGGAGATCGTGACCTGAGCAACTCCCCACCGTGAAAACAATAAAAATGTAAGCATTCACATTATCTAGATCGGTTCGTAAGAGAATCAACGTAGCAAATAACTATATGACTCGACTCTTCTCTATCAACTAATGAATACTGATGGCATGTCTGTAGTTAAGTGTAGAATCCATTAAGGAGACCACTTCATATAGCTGCAGTTTGGACAAAGTCTTTTTAATGATAGTAACTAGCAAAACCTGTTTAAAAATACAGGGACGTGCAGAGGTAGCTTTTTTTCTCATCAGCAAAAGATCAAGTTTCTAATGTTACAGATAACCCATATAAATTCTCGAATTGTGTCGAAGACAGAAAAAGCGATAGTTGATCAATTCAATGCCCAGTGCTATAACAACGGCCAAGTGTTAATGAAACAAATCAGTGTCTTTTGCGTAAATTCAGGAACAAGTCGTTTCTCTTCATTGTTAAAGAATCTTTCAGTAGTCGAACCCAAGCGTATTTCCCTCCAACTAGCGGACGCTCACGCTCGCACGCATATAACCACACCAAAAAACATTTAACGACGTACTTTTTTCTTTGGGGGCATGCGGTAGCGTAGTTGGTTGAGACACTATTATACAAGCCGGAAAGTCGCGGGTTCAAGTCCCGATGAGACAATTGGATTTTTTCAATTGACCTAATCCTTCCGGCCGCACTATGGCCCTGGGGTCGACTCAGCCTTTAACAGAAATGAGTACCAGGATTATTCTTGGAATATGCTTGGGGGTAAAGGGCAGCCGGCGGGTAGGGCTGACAACCTCACTGCCATCTGTGAGCCGATTGTCTGGAAAATGTGGGAACCTCGACGTCTCACAACCCTATAGGCCTCCACGGCCTGTTACAGGGATCCCTTTACTTTACTTTACTTTTACTATTTTCTTTGGCTGGAAATTCTGGTATGAATGAGCAGAGACAAAATGAGACAAACCATTTGGGTAGGATGACCGATGAAAGAACACTGAGCGTTTCAGCCATATAAATCAAAGCGACACCGAGGCTCCGGAAGAAACTGGGAAGTATGTAATGATAATGAGAGGTCGGACTAGGCTGCATTGCTTGTGCTATGAAGCGGAGAGGATACTAAATTTACTCATATCTTTACAGGGCGGAAGCTCCATACACACAGCGAGTTAAATAAATACGTGCGTATTGCGGAACCAAACTGTTAGCATCCATACAGAACAGTCGGTCATATTCACTAGGAGCTCTGTCAGACCGGAAGTCACTGCCGAGCTGTTTCTAGTAGATTCTGAAGGGTTCTGACGATGATGTATAAAATTAAGAAATACTGGGTCTCGGACATTGTCCATCGTCCATTGTCCATTCTAGAAAGTAGAAAACACGACGTTTCGGAAGCTGTACCTGTTTCAGTCTTCAAGTGAGGGGGAGACACCTTCTCTGTAGGGTCCCTTAGAAAGAGCTAACCTCAGTCACTGAAAAATGATTGAGGACAGAATAGGTGTCTCCCCTCTCTCCTGAGGACGGAAACACATCCAATTTTCGAAACGTATTTTCTAGTTTTTGGAACACAGGACGATGGACAAAGCCCGAAAGCCCAGTAATTCTGACTCATGTTTCATTTTCGGCATGACAACTCTTCAATTTCCGGTCCAGAGACCGATTAAGTCGACTAAGGGTCGTCATGATTTTCCTCAGTTCCTCTTGCATAGAACTTCATGTTTGTATTTTCCAATCTATTTACTAATCATCCTATCATATGACGCTATATAATCTGAACCATTGCCAGCGTCGTTAAATAAACATGCACAAAACAAAGTATACGGTGCAATAAGACAGCTACAGTTACATGCAGTACCACATGAATAATAATGTTATGATCGCTCCAAACGACAGAATACTGAAGGAACTATGAAAATCCATAGGACGCGTATAACTGACGACGTGGGTCCTTCATAAGTTAATGATCGTTGTCAGCCAACAAATTCGCCGAAATTTATGGACATAAAGGCTCATTATCGTGTTTACGTAGACAAGACAGAGCCAAATGAATCCCGTCCGCTCCATCCCACACTGTTTCTGATAGATTCATTTTAATTCTGTTGTTACGCCTGCATCTAGATCTTCCACGTGACAATTTCCCTTCAGATTTCTCAATCAAAATTCTTTGCGCATTTCTCGTGCCCAGCCTGTAATTCCCCTCCATTGTGTAAGGTCCGTAAAGATGTAATCTTGAAACCGGGTGTTATTTATTTCATCTCCAAATAATTATATATTCAATTCGCTGAGTAAAATCTGGTACAAATTTCCCTTGTAGGTATTTTAAATTTCATTAAGTTCGAGACACAAATGTACAATTCGTACTACATAGAATGACATTATTTTTGCTTGCATTTACTCGTAGTAGAATGCTGACCACATAAAAAAAACATTACACAAAAAATCGAAATTAGATAAGTATTTTATATTGTGTAAAATCCGAGAAATCGATAAGAGTCGAACTTGCCAAATAAGGTATTGTTTATATGTATTTAATCTATTCGGATCAAAATTAAATTGAACATAAATGTTCAGTGTTCAGTCTCAATACAAATTTAATTTAAATTATTTCAATAGTTAGAATGAAAGAACCAGCAGATAGACAAGGTCTTCCTTTATATGGTCATTTTATCTACTTTATGCAAGGAACGAGTATATGTATAAAACTATGTGTAGATATTGCAGACGTTCAGTCCTTAATGTCTCCTTCTCGTCTGCTAAAATGCAAGGTAAAATT